AAAGTACAAGAGAGACCATCATTCATGCTGGCAGGAGGGTAGCAGAGCCTACAAGCCAGTCACTGGACTCTTCAAGGTGCAGCAGAGCCTATGAGATTTGAAGGTATATGAAGGCCACTGTGACAAATGTTTTCCAAAAATTAGAAGTTAGCTGTGGGCAGCATGGTGGTTCATGCCTGTAATCCTAGCACTCTGGGAGCCAAAGTGAGAGGATTAAGGCCAGGAATTTGAAGTGAGCCTGAACAAGAGTGAGACCCTGTCTCTACTAGAAATGGAAAAATTAGCCAGGCATGGTGGCACTTACCTTTAGTTTCTGCTATTTGGGAGACTGATCCTGGAAGAATGCTTGAGCCCAGAAATTTGAGATTGCAGTAAGCAAAGATGGAGCCACTGCACTCACTGACAATGAGACCTTGTCTCAAAAAAAGAAAAAAAGAAGAAGAAGAAAGCTGTGAATAAACTAGGACCACCACTGCATGTAATGAGCATCAAAGTAGCTACTGATGAATGTCCTGATTCAGCTGTGGTTTTTAAAAATACTTCTTACCTCAAGTTTGGAAGAAGTAGTAAAGACTTGTTCAAGGAAACAGATGAGCTGGGCATGGTGGCTCACACCTGTAATTCTAGCACTATGGGAGGCCAAGACAGGAGTTGAAGACCAGCCTGAGCAAGCGTGAGACCCTGTCTTTACTAAAAATAGAAAAACTAGCTGGGCAGTGTCTATAATCCCAACTATGTGCAGCTAAGACAGGAGGATCTCTCAAGCCCAAGAGTTTGAGGTTGTTGTGAGCTATAATGCCATGGAACTCTACCCATGGTGACAGTGAGACTCTGGCTCAAAGAAAGAAAGAAAACAGATGAACAGAAGCAAATGAATATTTTACTTGATGTTGGTAACATCTCAGTAAACTGTTAATATATGGAAAAATAAAAAATGCTTAAAAACAAACCAAAAAGAAAACTAGAAGGAAATATGCTATGATATCAATAGTGGTTGCCTCTGATGAAATTGTTAATGTTATTTACCTTTTTCCTCTAAATATGTTTATGCATAT